AGGATATCGTTCCTATTTCCAAGTTCATGTTCGTACTCCTCCTCCTCGAGATACTCGTAAAGATTACAGTTGGCCACAGGTGAGAGAAGAATATTCAGGGTCTGCTCAGTCTCGTACGAATACAGATACCGAATAATGTGCTGATGCCCGTTCAACTTCTTCAAGCTTGCTATCTCTGTTTCGAAGCTCTGTTTCAACTTCTTCGCTTGTGTTCTCTTCAAACGGAACCTCTTGCGAGCCATTTGAGCACCGGTAACGGCGTTCTCGACACAATCCACTTGGGCCCAACCACCATGCCCGAGATGTCTGAGAGTACGGACTGGTATCACCTGGTTCTCTTTATAAACATTGGGCTTGTCTGTTTGAAAATCTCGCAGGGCTGTGCGATGTTGTTCTAGTTCGAACAGCTTCGCATTATCCAGCCCTATGAGCTCTTCAACCGTCGTTAGTTCCAGGGGAAGCGACTCATCCGTTATCCCTGCTAGCATGAGACTTGAGAGATCTTCCCGAAGCGTAAGGAATTTCGCTAGCATAAAAATGCAGGGCATGTTCAGGAGTTGTTTGCCGATCGTGGGATCAAATGTCGAATCCAAAGAGAGTTTCTCCTGGTATAACCGCAAATGTACCGAGATCTGCCGTATCGAATCTGAATTCAAGAATGTCGTCGTCTTTTTGGTGCCCATGTCTGCCGTCGGCAGGTCCCTTTCTGATGGCAGGAGTTCCCATGGAAAATTCTCGACCACCCTTCGGATAGACAACAACTTCGATTCCTCGGGTGTATTGTGAAGCTGGGGCACTGTCCGGACGTTGCTTTCGAGCGGCGTTTCCACGTGTGATGTTCTCTTAGAATCCATGGGCGCAATGTGTTCATCGCAGTCAAGCCGTTAGTGCTGGTGCAGTCTTGCAAACCCTGAGAAGTCTCGAAGGCGATTCAAAATGAGGTTCATCAGTTGGAAGGGTTGGCAGAAGACAAAGTCAACCGCGCTGGCAGAAATCAGACGTGGGGTGGGCTCAGCTGAAAATGGACAGGGTACTGCGCCCCCTGCCTTCGCTTTCCGCAGCCCAATCACACCAGACTCGGATATTGTGCATGTAATGGCTTGCATGCAATGGTGCCTAGAGATTATATGCCTCCGATTACCTCGCGTTTGATACATAACCCATATTTGCCCGTAAGTATTCGAGCCAGGCCGCGCTTCAGTCTTTCCTCCAAAATGGCAGAACTGGGGCTTGCCGTCTTCACTGCAGTGAAGGAAGTCTACCTACTCTCTCGTTTCATTGTTAGAACCGCCCAGTCAGCGGCACGTCACCGGAAAGAGCGTTCTGAGCTCGAGGCTGAGCTCGAATTTGAACAGCTTTACATCCGCAGTTTCGGTCAGCTTTACATCCAGAACAACGGGATCCTTACCCCACATAAGCAACTCAATCGTGCCTGGTTGAAGAAGATTGGAGATATTCTTGAGAACTTACGGTTGGCCTGTGGCGACTACGCAAAACTAGCCTCTGAGCACGATGAGGAGTATCGGGCATTGAGTCCGTTTATCAACCCACCGGACAACTCTATTCTGGCTTTCGAGGACCTTCCCGCTCAGGACTCGAACAACTCCAACAGACTGACATACCACTGCACCACAACTAACTCCAACGAAGTAACATATCTCAGCAGTACGAATCTTCAATCGATTGATGGAAGCTCCCAGGATACGTCTCAAAATGCTGGGAGAGCTGGATCGCGTCTCGATCTTGACTGGCGATGGGCCCTATCTGAGAAACGGAAACTGAGGAAAATTTTGAAAACGTTCCAGGACGCGACACGCAAACTGAAAGTCCTGCTTCAACTCGCAATCGCAGCCAATCCCCAATACCTAGTCGGGAACATCGGCGATACCCACAATGAACCTGGTCCCTCCAGCCCAGACAACATCCAGGCCTTGGGCTTAAGGCCACACATCGTGCTTCGGTTGATAGGTCTTGAGACAGAATCGAAGTCAGACTTAGAAATAAGAGAAGGTACACTTCACATGCCACCGAGCGATAACCATCTCGCCATGGGTCGTTATATCGACCAGGGAGAAGACGGAGAAACCAGCGCACCTGAGAACGTGATCGCCGAGTTCAAAGCCCTTGACGACGACTCTCCCGCCTCCGACGAAGAGCGGCTTCTTCACCTTGCCCGGCGGCTAGCAGCATCCAAAGGGTCCGACCTCAAGACCCTACCGTTTCGGTGTATAACAAGATACCGGACGCCGAAGTCCTTCGCCTTCTTATTCAACTTTCCTCCCAAGACTCTAGAATCAACACCCGTATCCTTACACGATATTATCGATCCAACGAATGCTCGAAGGCAAAGCCTCTCGCTTCCATACCGCTTCCACATCGCCCAAAGCATCGCCAAATCGCTCGCCGCCTTCCACGCCGACAACTGGGTCCACAAAAGTCTCCGAAGCCGCTCCATAGCTTTCTTCTACGCCGAGAATGGGACCTTGGACTTCAACACTCCATATCTCACCAGTTTCGAATACTCGCGAGCAACGACCGCTAACACGACCTGGGATTATGACAATGATCCGGATAAGAACTTATACCGCCATCCAGATCGCCAACGCCCGCCTTCAATATCCTTCAACAAGTTGCATGACCTGTGGGCCCTTGGAGTCGTCTTGCTTGAGATCGGGCTGTGGGATACTGCGGCGGGGATTCAGCGTGATGGAGTGCTGAAGCGTTCGCTTTCGATTCCGGTAGATCCGCATGCGCTGAAAGATATATACTTGGATCGCGCAAAGCAAGACCTTGAACATAATATGGGTCCGGCGTATGCTCAGGCGGTGCAGGCTTGCTTACTTGGTGACTTTGGCTGTGGCGCGGCTGATGTTGGATTGTCGCTGGCAGTGCATACGAGAGTTGTTGGGAGGCTAGTTGTTGATAATCTTTTTATGTCGGCTGAAGAGAGCGCAGAGGACGAGTAGTTGGGCCCGAGCGGCATATTTGGCTACGATCCCTTTTCTTCAAGATGAGGAAGATGTGGTGCTTCATCAACTAGTTCAACAGCTTCCTCAGACTGCCCCACGTCTTCGGTCTCTTGGTGGAGGTATCGGGACTTCTGCTGATCTGTGGTTCTTTCCTTGGATACAGGTTCGGAAATATATACTGCTGGACCAGTCCATACTCCTCTTCACTAATACCGGCGAGTGCTCGACCCAGCGTGCCGTGCGCCAGTGAAAGATCTTTTCCGTTCAGTCTCGAGTCATGGAAGCGCAGGGTCAACACCCAATTTGGTTGCACCAGGGCGGGTAGGAAGCTCAGAAGAATTTTGTCGCCTTTGTGGTCGACAAGGTCGAATTTCTCAGTTTCGATGGCTCGCTGTTGGCACAGATGAACATTCAAATGCATTTCTGCCCACTGCATGCTCCGGGTGCTTTTGTCAGGATTTTCGACTTGCTTAAATTCGCAGATACGCTGCAGGAAGCTCTTTGTCTCCTGTACGGTCTTAGTTTGTGGGCAATAGAGTGGCTGAATACAGGGCAAGATAGCGTACCTTCAAGTCCAGGAAGATTTTGTAAGGAACTGTATATGTGCTCTCATCTGCGTGCTTTAGGGTTATGACGCGACGATCCTGTTCAATCTTTTCACTGTCCGGGGCTTCTTGGGCACCTTTCCTATCAGTGCTAGATTGCATAGTCTCGGACGCAAACCGGCGGACTCGGCGGGAAACTGATTGGATGTCTTGATATAGCTCCTCTGTCCGCATGTCGTAAGAGGAGTCTAGCTCTTTCTCGATCGCAGCATCCATAATCTGCACCTCTTCTTGATCGAGTTCTGCTTCTGAGCGGCTAGAGAGTGGTGAGATGATCAGCGCTGACGAGGGGTCGTCAATCTGAATAGCTTCAGAAACCGAGGCATTTGAACCTTTTCGCACAACGGTGCGATCTCCCGAGTGGGGTGAGCTGGGATTTGTATTGGGACTCATCGGTAAAGTGCGTGAAGTAGAAGGGAGCCGGTCTTGGTTCGATTGCTGTTCGAAAGCCAAAGCCGAAACCGTGATAGCATTCTGTAGGGAGACTTGGAGTATGCTGGTGACTTCGTCAGCGCGTGTATCCCTGAGCATATTGTTGCCCTTACTATGTGTTTTGCGTCTTGCTCTCGTTCGTTTTCCGCAGGATCAGAGAGAGCAACATTGTATCCAGGAGTCCCTTTTGGCTTCTCAACACATGTCGATAGAAGAGCAATTTGTCCTTGTCCTTGAAAAGCCACTGAATCCGCGCTCCAAACTGACTGAGTTTCTGGGCATCATTCTGCAGGCGGGCCAGCAGAGGGTTCAAGATCTTTTGAATACGGTTCAGAGGATCCAGCACGCATTCGCAAATCTCAACAATGTCTCTCAGAAGACTCTCGGCATAGCTTGATGATGGCGCCTTCTTGGTTTCTGGCCGTTGAATTTCTTCTCGAACATTTTGCAACACTTTGTTCAGAGAGTTGATCTCATCCGCGTAGATTTGTATCTCTTTTCCGGCAGATCCTATGCTTTCGGCAAGCTGATGAAGGCCTTTGGCCACGGCGAACCCTGCGGAGACCAATGTCAGAATGCTGGCAGTTATGCTGAGTGGGTCGGACATGGCGAGCCAGTAGCCTGGGGGTTGGCCTCAGTAGTCAGGTAGACGAAACAAATCGCTCGGAATGCGGCATGGGAGTCGAAGTAGGCTTTCACGGGGCTTGTGCCCGCCTTCCCAATTTGCTCAGCCTCGCAGGCTGGGAGGGCTTGAAGCAATCGCGGTCATTGGCCGCCTACGGTGGCTATGCTCTTAGCTTGATGGCAACAGCAAGGAAAGTACTGTCTTGATGCATGGAAAGCAAAAAGACATGGCGGGATTTCCACAATACTCGAGGGGTGGACAGCCACAGAGAGAGTTAGTTTAGCGTGCCAAGCGACCCCGCCCTGGAACCAACGATGGCATTTGACTCGACGGCGAGGAACAAGTGCAAAAAGAAATGCAAAAAGGATGGGGCCTGACCGGGATTCGAACCCGGGGCCTGTCACATTTTAGATTCTAAGAATCCAGGCGCAAAACCCGAAGCGACAATCATACCACTAGACCATCAGGCCGAATTGATGCAGACGGCCAGAAGGCCAAATGCATATTTAAACGGTTTCCAAAATTTGCCGGTATGTATAGCTATCAATGCACGAAAACGAGGGCGCCATGGTTCGAATGGCACTCAGACAACGCTGACTCTTAATACTGAAGAACTTCATTGCCTAATCCGATCTGACGCAGAACTTTGCGAGGCCACAGCATTTTTTGTTGAATCCCCAACCACCCACCAGGCCCCGATTTAATGAACCAAATATACATGCATGACGCTGCGCGGGCCCTTATCGCAGGACTACCATTCCCTATCTCTCACCAACACATCGCAGACAATATCCCAAGGTTCACATCAACTCTATGCCATAATTATGGAACGTCGCGGAATGTCGCAAGCTTATGCCCGGCTTTATCCAGCGGAGAGCCGAGCCTCAGGGCTCAGGCACACACCCGCACACGCACAATTCTGCGCGACCACTCGGTGTCCGACATCGCACGCGTCCGTCAGTTCCCAGACGAGCCGCCTGCCCTGTCTTGTCGCGACCTGTGCGCCCAACAACTCGCCACTTTTGGCACACCGACTTTACATGCGATACGCCATCGCCAGCGCCCTGCCCTGAGCTTACGAGGCTTCTGCCTCACTTTCTCGAATACCGGGTGTCGAAACACAGCTGAACAGCACTAGAACACCAAGTCCCGTTTCCCTCTGCCCGCCCAGCACGAGACCTGCCTCAGTCGAGTGTGGAAAATGCGGGGAAGCTTCGATGTGGGCAGATTTATGGTTTCATGGTGCGGTGCTCAGGCCATATGCAACGATCTGCCTCTGCGGGAAGCCATTGGACGCACGTTCTCCCGTTAGACTAGATTAAGTTTAGAGGGGCGAGTGGAGAAGGGCCAGGTCCAAGCTCCCGCAACACACGGTGATGCTTTGTGCGTTGTTGGAGCGTGGTCTGTATGCTCGTTGACCGGGGAGCCGCCGAATAGATTTATCATACATAGACTTGTGCGACGGGAGAGGGCTGCGTCTGCCATTTGTTGAGATCCCAATTCTGTTCTACCCCCGTTTAAGGCTGCGATAACATCCGAACTCGTCTCCCAACATTCCCCGACTCCTTCCCTCCTCAAACCCGAGCACATCGCAACACCCTCCAGTCGAAACAGCGTTTCGGCTCATCCCACATTTTAATCCCCTCAAATCTTCTCCATACTATTCTTGCTCCTCTTCTTCGCTCTTCAGCAATTGCGCATCGTTACATCTCCATAATCCCGTACGCCTTGTAATCCCACCACCACAATGGCCTTCCCGCGAGCTTCCACACGTGCTCTCAAGCACCTAAACCAGCAAACCCGATCGCTATCCATGACCGGACCAGCCCCCTCCTCTTTCCTCTTCACTTCCGAACGCCCCGCCATGAGCAGCTGGCGAATTCCCCAACTGCGGGACACGTCTGCCGAAGACACCACCACCGTGCGACCGCCAAGCGTGCTCGACGCCAGCAACCCCAACGTACGCCACTTCAACACATCGCGAGCACTAAAGGCCGTCAACGACACCTCCACAATCGACTTCGCCTACCTCCCCGACTACGACCCGGATACCCGGGATGCGCCGATTCTACGGGTCCCGATTCTGCCAACGGTGACGAACCGCTCGTATGCGATGGAGGATGTTGATGAACCTGTACGCATAGCCCACCATATTCACCCACTCCTACTCTCCTGAATATAACCCATCCAAACTGACAATTACCCCTCCACAGGTCATGCTCCCCCAGATCTCCACCGTCTCCGCGGATGGCACACACATTTACGCTCCGGCTGCCATGTCCGAAGTGTCCGACAACTCCTCAGTCGACTTCCAGGGCATGGCCGAGCACATTGCTAGTCGGATTGTCCGGCCCTCGGGTGAGACGTCAAGTATGATCCAGGAATTGTGGACGGGGTTGAAGGAGGATATTTTAGGTCCGCAGACAGCGAAGAAGGTCTGAGGTAAACTGAAATGGAGAAGAGAAGGGAAGTGGAGTGGAGAAGGCGGATGGAGCATGCTATGTATGAGCTTCTTTCAACGGATGCCGCGGTCTAGGCTGGTAGGCTTTACAGATTGCCAAGGCGGGCTCTCGGGGTTTCGTTTCGATTTCTACTAGTGTTATTTCCATGAACGTTCTGTTCTAGCGTAGTGGGATCAGTTGTTTTTTGACCGGGAGGGAGGGCTCTCATTTCAAACACAACACGGGGACTATATCCCTTTTTCCAAGTAGCTTGAAGTGCTCGAGCTTATGAGATATGAACTATTTTTCCAACTTCTTTGGAGTTGTTTCTTCTCGACTCCTCGTCCAATCTTGTTCTTGGACTAGTTCACTTTATTTGACCAGCCCCAAATTTCACCCAAATTCAAACTTTACCCATTCCCTTCTTCAACCAAGCGACCAACCACTACTAATATGCAACCCTTCCGTCCCCGGCCACCGAATTTGCCGGCCTCTCCTTCCTCCTCATATCCCATCCCCTCATAAAGCCGCCTCTCTTCAATATCCGACCCGGGGTTCTTGTCCAATCGCACCATGTTTTGGGGTATGAACTCAGAGAACTTGTTGAAACGACTCCTACCACTGGTCCTCGAACAGCCGTCTAATGAAGTTTACAAAGCTAGCTGTTCACGAAAGCCCTCACTTCGTAAAGCATCGTAAATCTCTTGTGGGGGATAAACCCTCTTCTAAACCCTGTGGTTCGTTTGTTCTCCTTGCGTGTGTCTTGGATGATGAGCATGAAGGCTTCATTTGGCTTGTCGGAATATCATCTTCTTGAGAGAATTGGTTAACAGCTCTGTACCGTCCCGATGCTTGCCCTTATGCTGTTGAGATGCAGCTTGGGGCGGGATATCAATCACCCCATACAAAAGCTCCGCCTTTTGGAGTTTCTCCTTGTTGGCCAGCCACCATTTACCATCCTTGGCCAGCTTGCTCGAGTCCGCTAAAGTTGGAGTTTGACTGTAAAGTAGGCGGGTACCTGCATCATCCTCTAGCCGAGCCTCAAGCGCACCAATTACTTTCTCTTGTCCAAGTATTTCCTCTCGGTAGGCCTCCCTCGATGCAAATGCTTCGTCCACTCGACCTTGCCTCGCAATAGCTAGCATGAAGTTGTGTCGGCAGAGAGCCGGAACTGTGATGCCGTGTTTTAAACAAGACTCTATTGATTCTGGATGAAATCTCTCGGCCTCTTCAAATCCACCTCGAGATTGGTGATAGACTTCCTTGTTGTTCAGCGAATAGTAGGGCCACTCCCAATTGGGATCATTGAAAAATCCAGCTGAAAGTAATCCAGTCCTGACACAGGAGACCAATTTCTATAGCTGGCTCGCTATCTCTCCCCTGAACATCCTCGATCCAGTCCAAATATTCTTCTACACACCCAGTGAAGTCTAAGAGCGTCTCGGTAAATCTGCCTTCAGCCCTAACTTGGGCCTTGATTCCAGCGGGGAGAGCATGCTTTATTATGTCGCCGCACGCTGCCCACATTTGCGCTATCGACAAGCAATGAACCAGGTTGTTGATAGCCTTCCACGTGTCTGTGTCCTCAATACCAAGCTGTCCCATGGATTCTTGAAACACTCGTTCACGTATGGGTAGCGAATCCTTGGCGGATTGTGCAGGTGATGTGTTCAAGTTGTCAATGCCACTGGCTTTGGATCCTCCAGAAAACAATCCCAGGATTTGACACCTTAAGTTGAGCATGGTGAAATAGGTTCTTTTCATATCTGGATTATTCTGGCACTCCGTCTCCGCAAACGCCAGCAAAGCACCGTTCAAGTTATTTGCCTCTTCAAGTTTCCCTTGATGAAAAAGAGAATGTGATAGATTGTGTCTGGTGACTAGTCTGTCGTGGCTCCATTCATTTATCAGCCCGGTGGCAAGTTGTTCCCGCAACAGCTGTTCTCGCTCGCGTTGACTTCCAGAATCCAACCTGTACGATAGGGTTCGGCATAATTCCTCCTGGAAACGCAGTTTGTAACGCCTTACTATTTCTTGCTCCAATTGACTTTGAATTGACTCCTGGTATGATGCAGGCGGCAGCTAGAGTGCAGTCGGTGGCTTAGGAAGAAGTGTTGCTAGTGGACCTAGGGAGCGGACTCGATCATAAGGGCAGACACACAGAACGACACTTCTCGAAGCACGCACGAGCTAAGAGCTCGTAATTGTATGCCAAGCAGACGCACACAGGTGCTGAAGGCGACCCTCTGAGAAGACTGCCCTTTACGGCTAGTTGACGCGGCTGAGGGATGATGTGGGGCAAATCGGCTCGGTTCCTCGAAGAAGATCCTGGCAGACTTCAACAAACCACCACCCACCTCCAATCCTCGTAAGTTAGTTAGTAGTCAGTGATGCATATAGATACCAAGAGCACTTCTTTTTGTTTCCTCGATGATCATGGTTGCAATGTGGGGTAGGTAGCTAGACGAACGTCTACTTCACATTCCGGCACTCGCTCCAGAGACTAAAAACGGGCTATGCAACGAGATTTTGCATCCCCGTTAGCTTCCTCTCTCTCAACGCGTTCTTTAGAGGTTTGCTTTTTCTCGTCGTGCAGTACAGCTTGCAGACACTGCAGCAAGCGTGCGTGCAGGTGGGCGTGCATGGGCGTAAATATAGGCGGGCTGAGCGGGTTTTACCGCATAGTTTCCCGAAAATTGGTCTTGACTATTCGCAAGAGAAGGAGAACGCCAGCTAGAGGGCTTGAAGTTGACCACTCAGGAGTTGTAACTTTAGCTAGGTTCATTACAGAGGCAGCGGGCAGGCAGGCGGGCAGGCGGGCAGAATGGCTGGCGAGAGACTTCAGCTCATAAGTCTGACAGCTCAAACGAATCTTTGTCCTTGTCGACTATGTTCACAAAACGACTCTTGGGAGATCCTGCAGTAGGCCTCTTGTTGGCTCGTGGGCCATTTTAATGGAGAATTATGCCTAATCCAGAAGGAGGTTAACCCTGAAAAGCTAGTGCGAACCAACTGGTGAATGTTCTCGA